CTCTGTCTGCATTCGCTTGCGACACCCCCCCCCTCTCGAAACACTTCCGGTCTGTCAAAACTAGTTAATGATTAGGTGATTAATGACAGCACAAAGCTAAAACTTTTCGCAAGGGAATGACTGAGGTATGTACAAACGGCACTGTTGTTTGCATTTTGGCTAAGAGCTCCCAGCAAGAGAATGAGGTGCAAGAAGCGGGGCGAGGTTAGAGGCACTGTGCTGTTCACCCACGAAACGACAACCTCCCCCCCCAACCCAATCGATTTCCTCATTAACACCATTCCATCTCTGCTATCGTTCACTCAAAACAGAATCCCATGAAGGAATGTTAGTTCAATCAGTCCGTAGGCTCAAAAATACCCGCTTTGTACGAGCAGGCAGGCACTGTAACAGGGTGTGGCCGGCAAAGCGAAGCAGTCAAGGTTCCAAAACCGGATTCTACCCGCACCGTTTTCCGTTCAGCAGCTATCATCATCATTTCTCAGTAGCGTTGTGTGTGTTGTGTAAGCGGAGTTATCTATCACAATTCTCTTCTATCACACAATTCCAGTACAATGCAAAGGAGGGGGAAGCGAACACACACTGTACATAGCGCGCAGTACGAACAAGAACTGGTTTTTCGAGAGCTAATTGCTGAATACTATGATGATCATACTGGTTCGCTATAGCTATAAACCCACGAGCTATCATGAGGAATACGCTGATTTCCAAAATCTGCTCTGCTCCGCTAGGTGGTAATCATGGATCCAACCGCAATAAACGCAATAAAAAGGTCAAGGTGTCTGCTGAGCGCGCCGTGAGAGAAGACAAGGTTATCCCTGGCGAAGGGTTGACATATCAATACGCGAAATGGCGGTGGAACCGAACGCCACACTTCACAGATCCTCTACACAACAATAGCCACAGAAAATCAGGAAATATAGAGGGATAAAAGCAAAGGGATATTGAAGCAGTACCTCTTCGCCTCGACGAGAACTTCGTGAACGTTCACGTTCTCCACGGGTCTTCTTCACACGCTGAACCTTTCGCTCGAAATGCTCTCGGGTTTCGTAGGAACTGCTCTCCGAAAAAGCCTGTCCAGCATAGGCATTGCTCAAATGTCTGTTGTCTACAGCAAGCAGTTGTCCATTGGCAGCATGTCCATTTTGGCCTTTGAAATGTTGTCCATCCTCGTAATAGTTGCCTCCAGACACAATATGGCCGTTTCTATCAGAGGCACGTGAAACCTCTTGCTTACGTTCGGCTTTCTTCGAATAGGATCGCAGTACTTTGTACATGGTGAGTACAGTTGAGATGAGGAATAACAGTAGTAGAAGTGCTAGACTTGCAGGAACATTCCACGCGTCGCAGCGTGTACAGGGATGGGTTTGTGGGGGAGCCGCCCCGCCAAACACAGCCCCGCCCGCGCCGACATCGGCGCCCGCAACCGCAGTTGATGTGCCACGACCTGTTTCCTCCGCTGCTGGCTGCCCTCGATTGCCAAAGTAATCAGAAAACATGCTATCGCCCCCGAAAGTTCAAACCAATACCAATCAGTACTTGTTTTGAAAAAGACAAGTACACTTCACAACAAAGAAGGCAAGAAAGTGTTCTGCAGAGTGAGAAGAAGTCCGAACGGGGGGCGAGAGGAGTGACTGCTCTGAAAGGAAGGAACGGTTTCAGAAAGGAAGGTTGTTGTGGGGAATGATTCATGATGCGAAGCGTCGTGTGGAGAGTTTCCCACAGTATTTCGTATTCCACCTCCATCGATAGACGTTCGAATTGATCGATAGACGCAGACGAGATTCCAAGCCTTGGCCGTCCGTACTTGTGTTGAGGAGGATCAGAGAACCAGTGGGGGAACGTCGTAACTACACAATATCCCGCACGAGCGACCAGGCACAATACATCGCTGCAAAAACCCCTTGGAAATCCATTCACTTGACTTTTTAGCCGCTAATAACAGAGCCTCCAGCGCGGATTCAAAGCAATTTGCGCTGATACTACGCCTTCTAGGGGAAACTCAAGAGCCGAAAACTTGTCCTGAAGAAACTGTGGGTAATGTTAGTCTGGGTCTTGTAAGTGGAACTACAATCATATCAGGGAAATTTTCATTTTCCTTCACATGAGATTAGCACATCCGCCAATTGCGGGCTGATGCCGCCATCACATCCCTCGCGACCGGTCTCAGCGGCAACTACGCGCATCTGGACATCACTATTGGAATGTTTAGTGATTAATGGAGAACCAGATCGAAATCGTCTCGCAATCGTCTCACCAAGTGCTTTGGAGTACTCGAGTTCTACCTCAATTTTCGCCCTAAGGTTGGCTCTTATGCCACCGCATCAGTCTTTTCGACAATCTTCGCTTGTTCACTGGTCGTAGGCGCTCCCTCTCTCTCGGCATTCTCCGCTAATGGGTAGAAAGTTAGTCGCGCAAAACTCTTGGCCAGGTGTAAACAGGGGCGTGGTCCAATAAAGGAGAAATTTGAGAACTGAGATGCATTTCTTATCATCGCCTACACATCGTTCACACCTCCGTGCCGGAGATGACTCCCTCCTATCACGCCCTAATCGTCATCGACTGATGAACATCAGGATGACTGACAAGGACACAGGCGTGGCCGCATCTATGGGACCATTCAAAGCGCTGAATCGAGCGCTGATTCAGCTCAAACCTTTGTGAAATGGCATTCATTCCTTAAACTGGGAAACCTTCCCAAAATTATTCACAAAGGTTTCAACCGCCAATGGCGTCGGCTACCCTCCCATATGTAGAACACAGATTTTGGAACAACGTAACCCTGATGATTGATTACTGTTTGCCAAATTTGAAAGGCAGCACTTTACACGGTTTTCTTGACAACAGGAACGTTTCATACTGCCTCTGCCCCACCCGCCTTCCGAAATGTTGTTATTGAAGGCACCAAAAGGGCTCAAAGCGAAGGCGTGCTAAATTACCAGAGAATAAAAAGTGAAGGGGACCCATTAAGAACGCCCTAGACAGTTGACGATTTGGACGTGACGTAAGGCCATTCAATGGGATTTCTACCTATCAACTTCGTCAGGAACACCAGAACTAACATAAATTACAGCTCTCAATGCAATCATTTCAATTTCGGATTCGCAACAAAACTGGGAACCCGAGAATGCAAAACTAGCACCTCACACGGACCCGATCCATGGACTACCGTCTACTGTCCACTTGGGAGCGGAATCCGTTACTCGTCACACCAGCCGCCAACGATTGGGTGCGGGAGAAGTTGAAGTTAAAACTTCCAATCCATCTCATTACTTCCTATTGATGCAGAGGTTTGTACATCGGCTGGCCCCCGCAAGTCATTGTATAGGCCACATCGCATTCAATAAGCCACTACGATTCTGAATGGAAGTAGAATGCGTGCCGCATCCACAAAGGGATTGATTGACGGCAAAGACTTTATCCCTCACCCTTTGTAAGACCATAGAAGCATACTTCATTATTGATTTCGTCGTTTAAATAAACTTTCTCTTGGCATTCTCAGGAGCGCAGAGGAAAATGAACTCATTGTAAGTCCGCCTGTTAAAAAAAGCGCTCAATGACTTGAAAGACTCCTATTGTAAAAAAGTTTGTAGCCCGCTTCCAGCGCCCCTCACGACCTGCGCAAAGGTCACATCTATGGTAGTTACGGAGCCAGATTCCTCCATTACAGAGGGAATGAGACTTCTTCGCTTGTCGCGGTATGTGACTTTGAAGGTCCCGAATAGAAAATTTCGCTCGCAGATGATGATATCCATTAATCATTGTAATATATGTCAGTTCATGTTCTACAAGGCAATGACAGCGCCGTCAGAAGAAATGCAAGACCTAGTTTCATTGTGAACTTATCAGATCGAGATGCCCGACAATGAGATTTTTGTAGTTTTCCGTTGGGTTCACTAGGCCAACAACTGCCACAGCGTTTGTCCGAAAGTCCTTCAGAATCAAAGCTCTTGCGAAAATATTTGCTATGTCATGCCGGGTACAATTCAATTCTCTTCTGCCTTCAGAACACCGTTGCTAAAAGCTATTATGCTTTCAAGGATTATTGTGGTTTGGCCCGGAAACACTTACAACAGTGAGGAGGAAAAATATGGAACAGGCCTAGTAACCAACATCTAAGAACTCCTTTAAACTTTCAGCTATTCCTATAAATTTGCAGCTATTCAACAATAGAAATGTTTTACCTATGAATGGTCCTTGAAAAACTGTTGGAATTCTTGCTGGTTTATGTTCGAACATCAAGAAATAAATCAAAATCGTCATAAAAGGCAATAGTTTGACCTGTTCCAAGTTTTTCCCGCTGCCGTGCAAAGATAAATTGCCTATAACCATGACAAATGCCACAGAAGTTATATTCAGCCTGTATTTCAACAATGGGGAGGGCGTGGCAGCGTACTTCATCTGAATGTGGCGGTACCTGCGCTTTTGGTAGGATATTGCCGCTCTGAGACACAGTAATGATGTCATTGTCCAGCACAAGATAGAATGAGCCATCTCAAATAGAATTTTCTCATAAAAAGCCATCCTACGCTATGTCCAAATGAGAAACGAAGCCAGCTTTCGTTCGGCGATAGGAGTGGCTACGCATAGTGTACCAATACATCACTCCCTGTAGTACAAATATGTCAACCGCATCTAGCGGTGGCAAGTTAGAGAGGGAACTCTTGTTCAGTGTTATACAATAGGTGGAATCAGTATGATGGGGACCCCGGGAAGGAGGGAGAGGGTCATGCACGGTCACTGGAGGTGAGGAGGTCCCACTTAGCTTTGGAGAAAATGGGTGTAATTGCTGCTTTTTCTCTTTTCACACATAGTATTCAGTCCAAAGCACCGCTCCCAAGCTTTTTTGAGTGGGAAGGGTGGTCGCGATTGAAAAGTGCTCTCCAGGAAGAAATCTACATCTCCACAGGTTCCTTGTTTTTTAGTGACCTAACCTGCTGACCCGCCACCGATTAGCCAAATGCCGCAAATAGGATCGCAACCCAACCACACCCAGTTTCCAGGCCCATATTCGAATTGAATGTTCTCAGGGTTACTCGTCACGCCCTCTTATGCAGTAACTGGGCGCCCAGTACGCGCATAGGATTCAACCACCTAAATTTCGAGCTATTCTTATGAACTTGACAAATTTACAAGCAACAGAAATATAAAATTTGCACTGCGATTTTTCCCTCGCAGTAAGGGCTGATAAAGTCCTTTTTGGGATGCGGCACGCATTCCACTTCCATTCAGGAACGCTTACTGAATGCATGTGGCCTATACAATGAGTTTGCAAACGCCAGTCGAAGTACACGTCGATGCACTCATCTTCCCAAACGAATCTTGTACCAAATTTATACGCCCTCAGAGGTTAGAAGGCTTGGTGTGGCCTGGGTGGTGGTGCCGTGATTTCAAAGTGAAGGCCAACCAATATGGATTTCTTTTTCCTCCCAGTCGAGTGCCTGTACAATATACCGCGTCGCCAAGTGGGTGGAAATCTCGATTGGCCCAGTTCGGGCGCCAATCCGAAATTCGTTTTCCCCGCGTCGCCGTAGTAAGCGCGCCATTTGCTCTAACGGTAAATCGGCTTGTAGGAAGACATACAGGATTTTTATGACATCTATTCTTGTTGGGAATTGTGTAGGTGTCTTTCAGCAACTGTTCCAGTACTGATCGCGACTTTTGTCTAAACGTTCTTCCTTCCATTGAACTTCAACTGTCCGAATGGAACAGATTCAAATGAAACATAGCGATGCATCTCACAAAGTCGTGCATTTCAATCTCTCAAGGACAATTTTCCGATTGCTACTTTGGCACATTCACGACCACATCCATCACTCTCACGTCAAAAGAGCAGATAGAGCCACATGATAGACTTTCTCGTAAAGGTTTAGGAAATCTGCGTTTTCTGGCACAACGAACTACCTGCAATTTCACCGGGCGCAATTAATGGTTTAAAGGCACATTCCGCGATAAAATAAGGCTATGACCTCTCAAATGTGTCGGACGATCCGGAAGGCGATTTTTGAGGCTGCGCTACTTTCAAAATGTGAAAAACGGCAAGAACTCCGCTAGAAGCTGACTAATTAGGCCCATGGACACCCCTTAGGCCCATGCCGACCCTCACCGGCTGCTAGCTACTAGCTAGTAGCCCACATGTTATCTTTCTCTATAACATTTCCGGAC